TTGAACGTAATCATTGAGTTGGTTGTTGTTTGTTGAAGCTCCAGTGAATGAGCATTAACTGAGTTTTAAACATCACTTTAAATGGAAGATCCCCATAGGCCCCGCCCACTCGATCGGATGGACTGATCCCGGCGATGGGAGCATCCCTAATAGTGATAGTATAACCTATGATAGCTGAGGAGAAAATCAGAAGAAAGAACAGAAACCTAAAGGAGGAGGACAGAGAGAAAGTAGAATCAGATCTGTGGATAAATGTATAAAATGTTCAAACTCCGTACCTGTCTTCCAGCTCCCTCTGTTTTCTCCTTCAGCTGCTTCTGCCTCTTCTTGCTAAGTTGAACTTTGACTTCTGGAGTTTCCTTTGGCTCCTCTGTTTCTTCTGTGATCTTCGGAACAGGCTGCAATAATAAAATAAAAACATTGTTATCCACTTCACTGTCGTACTGTATAACTGATATTGATGAAACTGATTTGCTCGACTGTCTCAAATTGTATGATGTGCATTGCTTGAATTTCACTTAACAGACTGGATGTGGTTTGTCTTGTGTGTCATGTTTAGCATTTTGTCTTTTTGTTTATGTATGTCTATAAGTTGTTGCTATTGTCGGGACCCCCTTGAAAACAAGATGGTGCATCTCAAGGGGTTTATCCCAATCAATAAAAATGTCTATATATATATATATAGTGATGTTCTATATTTTCTTCATGTACTGACTCAAACCGAAAGTGCATGTATGAAGTACTCCACGTGCATCAAAGCCTCAAACATCCACCAAAAAAGGAATAAAAACACATCAATAAGTGACACTGTTGATTTGGGTAACATTTGTATTTCCACATGTATATAAATATATATACAGTATATATATTTTTTTTATCTTTTAAATGCTATTTCTGAAATATATTGGGCTGTTTACTTCAGTGTCTTAATTTCTCTTATGTACATTGCCTTGTTTTTTATGCTGCTGCAACGCAAACATTTCCCAAATTGGGATCAATAAAGTATCTATCCATCCATCCATCTATCTTCCTGCATCACCATGATCACACCAAACTTGGATTACTCCGCCGCTGAAAATGGTCCCGAACGAATGCTTCTACTTTTTATTCAAACTACATATGAGTGTGTGAGTTACCTTGGGTGCAGGCTGAAAGAGAACAGGTGGAGCGGGAGCAGCAGCCCTGAATAAAGCCGACAGCGATCCGGAGGCTTTAGATTTCTTCTTGAACAAACTTCCTGACACCTGACCGACCACGTAGTCAGCTGGCTGCTCCGGCTGCTCCGGCTGCTCCTCCTCACTGCAGACAGAAACATTAAGATGAAGTAGAAACAACATCCAGAAAAACACATGTTCGATAGATGCTAAACGTGAAAGAGGACACTCAATACTAAGGGCTCAGCTCTGTGGATACTGTGTGATTATGTGCTTTGCTTAGATACCTTTATCCGTTAGAGCGGTGAAATTAATGACGTCTTATATTTTTTTCTCTGTAGAGTAACTTATAATGAAATGATATATCACTATCTCAACTAACTTGTATTTCTGTAGCTGTTACTGTAGCTAAAAAGTAGAACAATTCCATACAACTATACAAATTTAAAAGTACAACATCAATATTGGATAATCAATAAGTCTCGCTAAAAAGTCTGAAGGTTATTTTTCTTCTAATGGTTTTAGCTTCTCTAATGTGAAGGGTTTGCACCGTTTCCTTTTAATAATTGTAATATATTAGAAATCCTGTTGAGGTTGTAGCCTACTGTTGGTTGAAGAAAACAAACTTTGTGAAGTTGTCAATTTGTGCGTACTTGATTAAGAAACTTACACTAAACTAATCGTCATTTAGAGCTCCAATTCAACAGACTTGTGAGTAATCACCTCGTTTTAAATGAATGCATCAGTCATTTTGTATAAATATTCAAGAGACACTATGAAATACTCTTTCCACTGACGTGACATTTTAAATGCCGGACTTTTACTTGTTACAGAGTATTTTTATAATGTGATATTAGTACTTTTACAAAAAGTAAAGGAACTGAATACTTCTTCCACACTGCTGGATGTTGAATGCATGAACAGATGAATTCATTACATTATAAATAACATCAGCCTCTTAGCCCTGAGTCTTGTCTTCAAGACCACAGTTAGGTTTCAAACAAATGCCGCAGTTATCTTTCTTTACGTTTTTTTGGAAATCAAACATGTGTAAACAAACCTCTCCTGCAGTTTCTTCTTCATGGTTTCTACCGGATTATCCCAGCGTCACTTAAAGATTGACTCCGGTTAGACCTTTATATACAAATATAAGTAATTTATCACGTTAATTGCAGCATTTACATGAAATTCCACAACTGTAAACTCCAATAACACGAGAAATATTACGCACACGTTTTCCCAACAGCACACTGCTTGTCCTATTGCGAAACATGTCCGAGAGGAAACACGGTCACAGCGGCACATTGGTTCCGTACACCGCATGATTAAGCACCCATAAAGAGGTAGTACAAATATGTTTTTTTAGTCTGTATATGTTCCTCTGTATCATGTTGTCAATGTTGTGTTTTATATAATGTATGAAACCTATATATATATTCTTCAATATATATGAGACATTATTTTTTCAATTATTAATATTATTTATGCTACATTTAGATATAGTTTTTCTTTCCATCGTTATTATTCGAAACGGCTGCTTGTTTTTACATTTGAAAAAATAAAATCTGGCTTTATCTTGAATCGCAAACCGTCAAATGTGTGCAACCTCTAAATCTGTCCGTTCCGGTGAGCTACATACGTCTGACGTTCTGTGGTGTAAACAGAGGCTTTTCAGTTGCTGAGCATTTTTGTTCTCATTTCTAAACCAACTTGTAACCTTTTTTAAAAGCTACATTTACAACACCTCAGGTAATTATATATTGTGTTGCCAGTTATTGTTTTTACTTGTGTTTTGGGACGAAATAAAAGATAACGTCATGTTTTATGATCCAGAACAGGGGATGGGAGTGGACCAGCCGGATTCGGAGGAGATGATTGATCGGCGGGTCTCGTGCGACGGGGAGCGTGCCACCGTGCGGTATTTGGGCCCGGTGCCCCCCACTGCAGGTAAGATAAGATGAGATAAGACTTTATTTATCCCGAAGGAAATTGTTGTACCACAGTTACAAAAATAAAATAAACACCGCAGCGTAATAGTAAAACAGTACACTAAAAGTGCAGTTAAAAGAGCAATTACATATCTACAGGAAACTAGAAACATAGACGGTCACATAATAATTAATGTAAAAAGGTAGGCTGAGAAGCGGGGAGGGAGAGGGACATTACCCCCTCTCTACCCCCGGTGACTATCAGTGTGGTGTACAGTAACTAGTAAGTAAATGTACTCAAGTTCTGTACTTAAGTATCATTTTGAGGGACTTGAGTATTGAGTATATTCATGTTTATGTACTTTCTACTTTGAATTGCCTTCTGTTGAAAGGTGCTATATAAATAAACTTGCCTTGCCTTACTTCTACTCCACTACATTTCAGATGTAAACAATGTACTTTAACTACATGTCTGTTACTTGGAGTAAATTCACAAGCTACCCTGCAGTATACAAAGCACAAGTGGGATAATCTAATGAAGTACATCTACTACTGTACATTTTAGAGCCAATATTGTACTTTCAAATACAAAATACACATTAACAAATAAACATTGACACATAATTATAGGTTAAGATATCCAGCATCTGTCAATAAAGTAGCTCCATCTTTAACAGCTGTGCTAGACATAGTTAATGCATCAATATATCTATGATTCTCACATGGGCCATTATGAGTACTAATGAGGTGTTATTATAAATAAATGCAAGTTTATTTATGTAGCACATTCAGACACCAAGTCTATTGTGCTAAGTGCATTGCATAGAACCACTAAACATGTATTTAACACACATCGTTTAAAACTGTTTTAGGAACTTCTGTTTTAGGACATATTTGAATATTTCATAAGGTTTTATTCAATTTAAAAAACAATGTTGATTCGGTGTCAGTACTGAAACCCACCCAGTGTAACCCACATTGATACCGCTCCATTCACAACGTGTTGATGCTGATGCTGCACACTTAATCTAACAGAGTGTGTGTTTCAGGGTTGTGGTATGGCGTTGAGTGGGATAACCTGGAGAGAGGGAAACACGACGGCAGCCACGAGGGAGTTCAGTATTTCACCTGCAGGTAATCCGGAGTTGTGACTGTCCTTTTAACAACACATGAAGCTACACGCTGAATCTTAGCTAGTTATTAACCACCTGCATTATAGCCAGTGTTACTGTGTTCTGCATTGTCAGATATTTGCTTTACCCTTGTCAGAAGGTGAGGATCCTCTGGATGAAAATGATACATATGCACATTTTCTGGATGCTAAGTGAATTATAAGCAGTTGAATCAATAAGAGAATATGTTGTTAGACAAAATACGTAGTCACTGACTCAATTTTGGCTTTTGACATCGATTCAGCAAATGAAAAAGGAATGAATAGCTCAATCCACAATAAAAACAATTATTTATGTTACATTTGAAAGTAAACGTTGTCCCTGGTGTTTCTCCACGCTCTCCCAGAAATCCTAAAGGAGGCTCGTTCGTCCGTCCAGCGAAGGTGAGTTTTGGAGTGGATTTCCTGACCGTGGTGCGAGAGGAGTACACGATCGACACCGAGGAGGTGCTGAGTCAGGAGATCTCCATTTCTTCCAGGAAACTCAAGTGGGGGAAAGTCAAGGAGCGCAGGTACGACACTCCTCAGACAGTTTGTGCTGCTGCCTTTCTTTATATAATTAGACTCGAACCTAATTTATAAAATAAGACCTGGCTTTGTTGAAAGAAGCAACTCATAAATAAACTGGCTTCAGTAATCAAAGTCGAATTGTTTGCTCGTCTGTATAAACCTCAGGCCAGGCTACAGGATTAAGAGAAACAACTGAACTCCACATGTCTGTCAACAAACACCAATAATAATAATAATGAATGCTGATGTTTAATGAAACTATTGATTCAGTATTCATTATTTCATGGATGTTTTGCAGTAGTTTACAGATGATCATTTAAAAAAGGCTGCATTAAAATACTGAATTTGGATGTTTTTGTAAATTCTCTTTCCTTGTGTTTTGTTGTTTTGTCTCCACAGTTATGAGAACCTGCCCTCCGTGCTGCTGACTCGCAGTGAAGTGAACGGAGCCGGGGCTGAAGGAGAAATCAGGGAAACAACGCCAAGTATCTTTTTCTGTACAGAAAAGACCTACTGATGTAAATGCCTGTTTTAGACATTCCAATAATCCATATAGTGTTGAGATATTACCCAGCCTATGCTCAGTGAAATGGACTCCCGAGTCAAATCACCAGCATAATCCGGCCAACACACTGAATCTGAAACCTTTGTCTAGGATAACAAAAGATCACAAACAGAGACAGGAGCTTTACAACAAGGACGACCAGACTTCAAAACAGCTTCTACCCCTAGATATGCTGCTAAACCAACAGTGTTGAGTTCAATGCTCTTGAACTCCTCCTATGCACTTTATAGCTTTTTACACCATTTCTCTTAATTATTTATTACCCCCTTATGATTGTTTACGTCCGTCCGCCTTTTTCTGGCGTGTTTTGTTATTATATTGTTAGTTACTGTACACTATTATTGTGAGAGGGTTGCTCTCCACAATATCTTTTTTTTGTATAATGACAATAAAGGCTATCTATCTATCTATCTATCTCTCTCTATCTATCTATCTATCTCTATATCTATCTATCTCTCTATTTATCTATCTATCTATCTATCTCTCTATCTATCTCTCTATCTATCTCTATATTTATCTCTATCTCTCTATCTATCTCTCTATTTATCTATTTATCTATCTATCTATTTACCTCTCTCCATCTATCTATCTATCTATCTCTCTATCTATCTCTCTATCTCTCTATCTATCTCTCTATTTATCTATCTATCTATCTATCTCTCTATCTATCTCTATATTTATCTCTATCTCTCTATCTATCTCTCTATCTCTCTATCTATCTCTCTATTTATCTATCTATCTATCTATCTCTCTATCTATCTCTATATTTATCTCTATCTCTCTATCTATCTCTCTATTTATCTATTTACCTCTCTCTCTATCTATTTATCTATTTATCCATCTATCTATTTATTTATCTATCTATCTATTTATCTCTCTATCCATCTATCTATTTATCTCTCTATCTATCCCTCTATCTATCTCTCTATCTCTCTATCTATTTATCTCTCTATCTATCTATCTATCTATCTATCTCTCTATCTACCAGTGTTGGTGATAGTTGTGAGTGTCATGGTGGAGTCTTTAACAGCAGTGATCAGACGTGCAGTGGTTGGACATGTGTGGGACTCTGCTGTCCTGCTGGGAGGACGTGGCAGCCATCACTCAGCAGCTGGAACATCTGGAGGGACTGCATCTCAGGTACAGATCGTGTGTGTGTGTGTGTGTGTGTGTGTGTGTGTGTGTGTGTGTGTGTGTGTGTGTGTGTGTGTGTGTGTGTGTGCGTGCGTCTGAGGGATTAGACACAGATAGAGTAATAAATGACAAAGTTATAATTAAAATGATATGAGTAACAATATAATAGTCATGTATCCTGGGGGGAGGGGGCATGTCAATAGTAAGTAAAATTAGAAGCAGCACTGATCAAGGTCTTCTGTGTCTGTTCAGTTTCTCTTGCACTAACAAGTCCTTAAACCCTAAAGAGCCCAAACTGTGTTCCCTTTAGTGTTTACTTCCTGTCTGCTTCTGTTGAGATATCTGTCACCAAAACTCTGTCTTTTAACCTCTTTCCTTCTCTCCCTTCATCCTCCTTAACCGCGGTGTGTAAATAACCTCGTCCAAATTGACCAATCAGAATCGAGTATGCAGCTAAGTTGTGTAATAAATAAGCCTCTGCCTCTCTCAAGATTCAGATTCAAATTCAATTATTGTCACGTCTCTCTCTCACAGTGGTGTGTGGTCGATGAGTTGGGGAAGCTCCGCAGTCTGGTGATCTTCACGTGTCGTGGGAACCGCCTGCTGAGCAGCGACGGAAACCCGAGGACAGCCAATCAGATGCTGATCGCCAAACTGGGAAAACTGGAGCTGCTCAACAACGGCCAGGTGTGTGTGTGTGTGTGTGTGTGTGTGTGTGTGTGTGTGTGTGTGTGTGTGTGTGTGTGTGTGTGTGTGTGTGTGTGTGTGTGTGTGTGTGTGTGTGTGTGTCTGTGTGTCTGTGTGTCTGTGTGTGTGTGTGTGGCGGGCCTACAGTTTTCCACGTTATTAGACGCATTGTTCTAAAGTAGATCACATTAATTGGCACATTGTAATTCTGCACGTTATTTAGCACATTCGCTTTTTTACCTTATTTAGTGATATTTGGATATTATTGTGAACCGGAGTCTATTGTTTATAAATAATAATTTTCGAGCGGAATTAAACAGCATCTCTGTGCGTGCTTTTTAGAAATGTGTATCAGACACCGTCACCTGACCTCATGCCGAATCTTATTCCATATTTTATTACATTCTATTTCTATGTAAATACTGCTATATTTGACTATTTTCTTTTGTATTTTAAATATTTTTTAGTGTTTCTATAGTTTTCTTAAAATAGTTCTCTCTGTGTTTTTAATTTTTGTTTTACTTTTATGACACCAAGTCAAATTGCTCGTACGTGTCAACCTACCTGGTAACAAACCTGTTTCTGATTCTGACCGTGTTCCTGGTGTCCATCAGATCCTCCCTGACGACAGGAAGGGGGCGGAGTGCGACTACATGAAGATGTTTGGTCTGGAGTGGCTGGAAGCGGGCGGAGGCAGCGAGACTAGCAGAGAGTTCATCATCCAGCACCCCCGATACCTGAGCCTCGTTCAGAGTGAGTCACACCGAGCGGACAGGAAGTGAGATGGGGGTCCAAGGAAATCTTAAAAAACGGCGCTACTGATTTCAATATTTTTGGGGGGGTTTTCAGAAGTTTAAGGTGAAACGAAACATATTCTGTTATATTTACGCCCACAGTTTTAACACTGGAGCATTCCTCTTTCATGTAAGATGTAATTGGGGACCGGTTCCTAACACACAAACTTTTTTATGGGATTTATGGTCAATAGACCTCATTTACACAAAATTAAACCTAATTTAAGAGAGTTTAAAAAAGGCAAATATGTTGAATGATTTTACAAAATGTAACCCAGACTGCAGATGCTATAAATTTAAATAAAACCCCAAACTTTATGGAAGTGATCATAACTATTTTCCCACACAAAACGTAGTTTCAACTCTCAGGTAACATTTGACCCAAGGACAACAGGAAAGCAATTCAGCATATATACTTTTTTTTTAAGGTAAATCCTAAAAGTGCTAAAAGTTCAGACAGCAACATGCCGGAGTGGATCGGAGGCGGGGCTTAAGGAGACTTAAGTACGCATGCTCATTGGGTCAAAGACACCAGAACTGTTTTTCCTCCACGACCCTTTTAGGAAATTAAATGCTTTGATTCCAATCAGCAGCTTTTGATCTTACCACCTCACTACTATGGGATATTAGGTACTAACTTACTGTTTGGACGTCTCCTTTAAGCGATGATGTTGATGATAATGATGAAGATCCTCTTGTGTTTCAGAGTACGGCGCTCCAGACGAAGGCCTACTGAAGAAGTGGGTCCCGTTAGCTCTGAAGAACCAGCTGTTAAGTAAGTCCTGCCTCTCTCTGCTCTCTGCTCTCTGATTGGCTAATACCCTACAGGCCATTGATAAACACACTTTAGTCCCAACCGAGGAAACCCACTAAGGGAAAGGTGATATTTTCTGACCACTGTCTTTTTTTTTTACTCCTCACCAGAGATTACATTTGTGTTTCCTGATCACCCCGACCGGAAGCCGATTGAGAAGAAACTTCCAGGTAAAACAACAGAAAATAAGGTTAAAAAAAACATATTAAACTGAAATAAAAAATATTTTCCAGTTGAGTTCATTGTATGTTTTGCTCTGCAGACTCCATGGAAGTTCAGAAGGTGAAGGGACTCCTGAACAGACTGCTGAAGGTTCCTCCTTCAGATCTGAAGCTCACCTACACCACCCTCAAGGTAAGAACCATTAAATATAATAATTAGGGCCGGGACTTTAACGCGTTAATTAAGATTAATTAATTACACAAAAATTAACGCATTTTAATCGCACTTATTTTTGCACCGCGGAACGTTT